CCCCCCCCCCCCTTCTCACCAAAATCAATATGTGGGCCGCTCTTTCTCTCCTCAGTCTGGCTACCTATCGCCTGGAGAAATAAAGGAGATGAAGGGGGATCACTGCACTGCACTGTCAGACTTCATAACCCTTATTTCCCACAGGGTCGAGCTGCTGCCATTGATCAGACGCATTGCAATGCATTGTGGGGGGGGGGGGGTGAATGAATCAGCCACCTTGGTGTGGGTTGTGATTCTGTACTCAGTTGTAACCAGAGCTGGTGAATAAACATGTCGACAGAAAGCATGTCATCCTCCATGAAGGATGCAGCCCTCCTGATGCAGCCCTCCTGGGTACAGTAAATCTGTCATATTGTTTTCATCTGGATCTGCATCGCCCCCTCCCCAAACGCTGCAGAATGACGATATGATGGAGAGCTCGAGCTATTATGTAAAGCCCAACCCATTACAATAACCTGTTTGATCGTTTGAAAGATATGTTATACCGTCTAACTCTTAGGAGACGACTTATCGTTATCAAAGAGAACATTAGCCGCCTTTAGCTTAGCGGTGGTGACGTGAAGTCGTGTGACCAACATTCACTCAGTCTAGGAAGATCTGTTTGGTCATTAAAGCTGCATTAGTCAATATTTTGCTAATGTTTTAGCCTTAGCTAAATATGTGCAGATTGGAACATAATATAAAAAACTGACTTGTGTTTCTTAAAGACCTCAAACTATTCTTTTTACGGCAATTGTTCAAACTTTTGTCAGTTATCAGGTGACACTGATGCCTAATATTCTGTCATACAAGCGATATATGTCAGTCATATTTTTTTTGTTTGCAGAATGTATATATGATGGACAATAATTGGTTCCTTCTGGATGGCATTACAAAGAAAGAATGAGGAGATTTTCAGAAAAAAAGTCATAATTAGTAGATTTTCAGAGAAGAATCTGAATTTCAGATTTTCCGAGTAAATCAGAATTTTGCGATTTTCAGAAAAAACGGAATTTTCTGTAGAAATTCTGAATTTTCAGATTTTCAGAAAAAAGTCAAAATGTTATGTTTCTCAGAAAAAGTCTGAATGTTGTGAATAAAAAAAAAAAGTCATAATTTTGAGATAAAAAAAAAAAAAGTAAAAGTTGAGATTAAAAAAAACACTCAATTTGGGTTTTTTCAGAAAAATTCTAAATGTTATGTCATGTGGTTTAAAAGGCTCGAAGACACGTAAAAATAAAAGAAGAAATACCAATGGATTCTTGTCTAGTTCTTGGATATTCCCCTGTAGACGTACATTTATTTTATTTGCTATTGTTTATTTACTTCTCTATCTGTAATTATTTCTTCAGTCTTTGTGCTGCTGATACACTCTGGGGATCAATAGAGGCTTATTTGATCTTATCTTAGTCATGAATACTTATTGAGTTGTACTTTGAAATTTGCAACCACATTTTTAAGCTTTCAGTGTTAAGCATTTAGAATCTAATAGAGAATAAATAAATAAAGTAAAGCTCCGTGAAGGTGGAATGGTTTGTGTGGTGGGTGCTGGGCAAAGGTGGGTTTGTTAGTTAGGATTAGATCAGACATTACCTGTAGAGTGACAGATGCAATCCTCCGATCAGAGAGCTCAGTGAGTCTGTCGGGTCTCAGGTGGTCCCACTTTGGTCCTTCTTTACACAGGGAGGGGATATCGGTGGATGAAAGAAAGCAGAATGTGAGCCTGAATTTGCTTTCCAATATAGCAGGAAGATCTGAACGTGACTTTAAATAACTCAAGCCATGCCTGACCACGCTTATATTACACTTTTTCTGCTGCAAGTGTCTAAAGACAGAGGGTGTTGTATGCGGTGCAGAGCGTAAAACCCCCTTAGACAGATTTCTAATTTATATATTGGGTTGTATAAATAAAGTCTGATTGGATTTTTTTAATGGATACCATAAGAGGCAAGTGAAGGAAATGAAACATTCTCTACGTCTCTAAGATTTCAAGTCCTTTTTTATTCTATAAAGCAGGTGGGGAAAATAATCTGGGATATGTTTTCTTAGATCATAATTTATTTTAAGAAACTGGTGAAAAAGGGGAAAAAAAGGCAGCTTGTTTATTAAAAAGAAGTTGTCATGTTAAATATTTTGGTTGTTTTATTAAAGATACATTTCAGTTGCTCCATACGCTCTAAGGGCAAGGTACAGTATTTTGTATTTTGCGCAGAATAAATTATATTTCGGGCCAAATTGCATTACAGTAATTTTAATTAACTTACAAACTCACAACATACTGTATGTAGCTGTGTTCAAAGTGCATGAATTACAAGAACAATTGTATACAAAAAGGAATGTGTTATAGTAATTCAGGTCTCTTTCGGACAAAAAAAGTATCACAACGACACAAAGAAATTCACCTGCCAAAACCTTATCAGATATATAGAAAAAATATTTGACCGACAATCTTTGCAAGTTAGAAACACAGGATTGGAAATCAAATTGGAAAACGTATTTCTCTCTCTAGTCTTCCGTATTTCTCACATAAACCATTGATTTACGTTCAATGACTCATCTCCTTGCACCAGCAGCAGGTTTAGTAGATGTCATAAACAGCTGTCTCAGATTTAGCAGTTTAACAGAGGTGTTATAACACGATGGTTCCTTATAGCAGCGAGCCTCACGCTGTGTGCAGAATAAGAATGACTGCGCTCTCCGTGCAGGGAATCGTCTCTTCGCTGTTGATGTGGCAGATGTCTGTTGATGACTTGGCAAGATGCTATAATAGAGAAGTTGTTCAGACAAACTCAGGGGTTGGAGCACATCAACAAAGTCATCTCTTTAGAGAGTGAAGGAATGAGACATTAAACCCTCAGATTAGTCAGCATTTTAGCTCTTTCAGTTCCCTCGTCTCAACGTTTTTTCCAAATATTTTTGTTTAGAAGCCTGAAAGCCATCTTTAGCTTAGCGTTGCTGACGTGAAGTCATGTGACCGTGCTGTAGTTCCTTTATAGCCCAACATTAGCCTCCTTTAGCTTAGCGGTGGTGACGTGAAGTCATGTGACCGTGCTGTAGTTCCTTCATAGCCCAACATTACCCTCCTTTAGCTTAGCGGTGGTGACGTGAAGTCATGTGACCGTGCTGTAGTTCCTTTATAGCCCAACATTAGCCGCCTTTAGCTTAGCGGTGGTGACGTGAAGTCATGTGACCGTGTTGTAGTTCCTTTATAGCCCAACATTAGCCTCCTTTAGCTTAGCGGTGGTGACGTGAAGTCATGTGACCGTGCTGTAGTTCCTTTATAGCACAACATTAGCCGCCTTTAGCTTAGCGGTGGTGACGTGAAGTCATGTGACCGTGTTGTAGTTCCTTTATAGCCCAACATTAGCCTCCTTTAGCTTAGCGGTGGTGACGTGAAGTCATGTGACCGTGCTGTAGTTCCTTTATAGCCCAGTGGTGTTAATATGTAGGGATTATCCTGCTGGACATAACGTTTGAGTTTATTTGCCATTGAAAAATCCCATCGATTTTTTGTCATGGGAGTCCTTTCGATCCTAATTTTCATGGTTATGCCTACAAAAATGCGTCATTCCTGTATCTCTCAATCGTGAATGTGTTTGTAAAAAATGTTCCTTCTTTATAAAACTTATTTGGGAATTTCTTTTTTTTCTTTGCAGAGTTTTTTTGATGGCTGGGACGTCACGAAAAAGAAGGACAAGACTAAAGGAAGGCATGATAGCCTGCTTAGCCGTAAGTACTGTGTGGGGTTACATTAAAGAAACATTAACTTGAATCTTTTTCACTGCTCACCTTAACATTTATATGCCCTTTTCATAAATGCACTGTACATTTTATTGCCATTTTACAACACTGCTTCAGTCCTATGAGTCTGCCAAAGCCACCATCATCGTCTAACTGCTTATATTTCTTGTCCGTCTGACTTATTTTTTATGAATGTTGTTGCCTTTCTCGATCTCAGTGAATACTTTGCTGAGGACAGTGTCACTTATCTTGATAAAAACAAAGGTAGACTTTTCTTATAAAGAATTACCCTTTAGTTCAACCTTCATTTCATTTCAATTTGATGTGAAGGATAACCTGAGGTCTGCTTTTATATTAAAAAAAAAAGCCAATATATTCACTAATGGAATATGTCTTGTAATTTCATTATCAGAATCTTTTTTGTGTATTTTAGATGATCGCCATCGAGTCAAGCTTCACTCTCTGCTTGCAGACCCGAGCTCCGACTATGTAAACGCCAACTACATCGACGTAAGTCACCTTCAGTCGTTGTTTGTCCTCCTCCATCGCCTCCTTCTCCCTCTTCTCTTCCCTCTGCTGACAGCTCTGCCTTAAGATCTCTTACAAGTCATTCTCTATTGTGGTGCTTGACCAGAGGACATGTCCACACACTGTCTGATATACTGGGATCTCTCTGTCATTCAGTGACAAATAGCAACATATATCCACGTGTGTGAGTTCATATAGGCGAAATTTCATCGTAGAGATCCCATAAGCTCAGAGCAGCTCGCCTCACGACTCATCCTAATTATTTGAAAGAAGCATTGCACCTCAATTGGACTCAATATAACCCGGCTGATCCTTTCATCTACCTTCAGATATTTTGATCTCATGTACAGTTCGGCTCGGGTGAGTTTTCAAGCAGCCTCTTGAGTCCCTGCAGTAGAGCCAGATCATATCTCGACAGACTTTGCGTTACATGGCTCCAAATAACGTATTTTAAATTATTTTTTCCTGCATGCCAGGTGATTAAGAGGTCACTTCAGCGCGATGGTGGAAAAACTCAGCAGTCCTTGCATGCTGTTTAACCTGCTTTGTTTCAACAGACAAAAGGGAATATGAAGTGGGCAGAAGGAGCCCGATAGGTAGGGCTCTGGGTAGTTCTAGCCAGTGTGGGTGGTATTGGTTAAAGCCAAACGTCAAAGCCTACTGTGCCACTTTATTCCCTGTATTGCTCAGTGAGGGCTCCATTAGGACGAAAGCTCCAAGGACCTCTGTGTCATTAAGAGACTCGTCTACAGCATGTCATGCCAAGACCCCTGGCTCCCAACTCTGAAGCGAAAATTATTCTAATGATTCATTGAAGGCCGCCAAGGTTGGAATAAATGGGTTTCTTTTTTTTAAGGTTAAACGGGCAAGTTCTAGCCCTTTCTCTCCCTAAGGTTAACAAAATGTCTTTGTTGGCATGGGCAGGAGTAGATTTTATTTAGTTTCTTTTTTAAACAATGACGGGTTTACAGAACATGACAGATTGACAAATGAAGAACGGTTTGACAAACGGGAATGTCGAACAGATTTCATTTAAAATAAAACCTCTACTCCCCATTCAAGACAAAAGAGCCATGCTGATTTTGTTTTAAGAAATCAGTTCCTAAATTAGTGCTGAAATAACTCTTAACTTTATAAAACTAAATAAATACAAGCTAAGAGCTTGTAGCGTCATGAACTCACACGTATACTTCAGTAAAATGCTTCTCCCACCCAAGAAAATAAGGATTTTCAAGATTTTGAGGATTATTTCTGGGATTATCTATTACCCAGAATGCCATTTTACTGTCTGACCAATTATGTCATTGATTTCTTGAAGAATCTCCTCCCTAAATGTGTGAATATAGTGTGTGTGCCTTCTGTTAGTTTGCACTTATTTCAAAACTTTGATCAATCCAAGAAAAGTAATATGTAGTCAAAGTTTTAGTGAAGTTAGAAGTGACATTTTTGTGTCACCTCTTGACATGTTCCTTTTGTCAGCGTCTAAAGCTGACAGGTGTAACGCAAAGCGACACCATCATCACCAGACTGTTAAGAGATGGTGCGTTCACTGTCAGCTAGAGTTTCTGCTTCTTGCTCTGGTGCTTAGGATGGGACGCCTGTCCCACTCGTGTTGGAATCAGAAGTAATTGATTTGGAAAAAGATAAATGAGAATGGGAAGTCATCGCTGAGCAGATACATCCGAAAGCCTAATTTCTTCAAATCGCAGACAACTTCCACTTTGGCTTAAACTTATTAAACTTTCTGTGTCTTTTCGTGTGGCATCTAGGGAGGGCAAGATAACACCATAAATGTGACCATGTCACCCTAAAGTACACTTGGAGATTTCCTGTTTTATATAACTTAGCTCATGCAACTTTGAACTACTTTTACTACATATTACTTAATTCTATCACTAACACAAATAATTATTTTGTATTGAGCAATAAGGCTCTAGTTGGAATATAATATCCTGATTATCTATGTTTCATCGTCTAAATGAATGGTTTTGTTAAATGTTTTGTCCTTTGACACCACACCATTGAAAACGAGAAGGTGCATTTTAAAAGGGTTATCACTTACTAAGAATTCACCAAAAACTACGTAAATTAGCGCACATTGGTGATGAGAACAGGAAACACAAGCAGGGAGAAAGAAGTTGGCCTAAAAAACTTCCATCACAGTTTAGAGATTTCTGGTTTTGCCCCCAGTTAAAGTGGTTTTATTAATCTGTTCAAATTGTTGTTTTGATAACAACTTCTCTGAATTTCTGTCAACATGGACGTGTTCCCAGATCTCATACATCTCCAGAGTGTTCTAATCTACATGTTATAATTGCTGGTAGAAATGACAGCCAAAAACCAAGTCAGCTAACTGTCTAATCAACCTTGTTGCCAAACTAGAAGGGCACTCAGAAAGCACAATCCTTCGCCAAGACCGTTAACATAAGTGAAAAATAATGCGAGTCTCCGCCCTGTAATTCGGATGCGCGTCAAATTGTTATGGTAGCTTAATTTGCTCATGCCAGGGGTGTCAAACTCAATTTCATCGCGGGCCACATTAGCATTATGGTTACACTCAAAGGGCCGGTTGTAACTATATAAATATATAATATATATATAAAATAATGTATTATATTACATTATTGCCTCTGAATTGGATTATTATCGGATAGGATAATAACTTAGTAATTAACTACGTCTGAAAGCAGAAGTCCAGGGCAAATAATTGCAAGTCTCTTCAGTGCGCATACACAAAACAAGATGCATTGTGGGACATGTAGTTTATGGGCAACCTGCTTCCAGAAATGTCAATATTGCACAATAATGGGAAACCAAAAAGTATTTTATGTATGTATTGTGTCTAATGAAAGGGTTTTTATTGTTTTTAAGTATTTGAATATGTCAAGTATGGACACAGTAAAGGAATGACTAATTGAATTGAACTCTTCAAAGTTTGATGCTTTCACATAGTCTTATAATTTGCACACTTTTACCTGCACTGGCATTGATTTTTGGCATGTGACGTTAACATTAAGGTTGTCTAATATGTAATTTTCGCCAACTGCTGCAGAGCACCAACTTTTGAAGAAAAAGTGTTAACCTTGAGCAATTAACAAAAAAATTGTTTGAATGACATTCTGTTTTTCCCGAAGGCATCGTCCTTACCATGAACTCTTTCATTAAAGAACTTGCTAAAGTGTCAATTAACACAAGGACAACCGTGTCATGACTGTCTTCAGATCAAAGACTATTTTCTCTTAAGGCCTCTTTATTTCAAGCTATTTATGTAGATGTAGATGTAGGATGGTAAAAGTGATAGGCTCAGTGGAAAAAAAATACACAAGAACGAGTAAATGGGCCTTTTGCGCAGAAACATGGGAATTTGAGTCTTTTGAACATTATTCTCTCCACAGGTCCTCAAGGCAAGCTGCTCTCTAACTATATCATTACCCTCTTTTCCTCATATTTAATCACAATAACTAGCTCTTGTTTCCTCCCCTGCTTTCTTCTTTCTCTGTCTCTGTTTTCCGCCCCCTGTGTTCAACCTTTTGGCAATTCGTAGATTCGGATAAACAGGGAAGTAAGTACCTTGCTTCTCTTCTCTTTTCCATTCCCTCTGCTTTTTCACGCTGTCCTCCATGGCTTCCATCCAAAAGCTGATATTCCTTCCCTTTCCCGCTCTGAGCTGCTCAGCCTGTCCGCCATCACTTTTCCCCTGAGTTAAATCCTTTCCAGACCAAAGGCAGCAGTGTCCTCTTTCATCCATAGTCAGATAAAAGGCTTGATAACATGCCAGGGGTTACATCAAGCAACTCAGATCACAGCAAGTAGGTCTGTTGGAAACCTATTCAATGACAGTGAACTAAGTGAAGATATAGAAATTCATCAATCATCTCAGAGAACAGGATCGTAGTCATACCATAAGGTGTCACAGTAAAAGGACTTTACTTGTCCTGATGAAATAGGTGATTCTCTTCATATACAACCCAGTCTCACGGCATTTTGTGCTATAGTCACGAAATTAATTTAATCTATTGATTCGTGTTCACCAGCACGATTTTCAATTTTTTTCTTGTCACACAGAACGATTTTAAAAGCAATGTATTTCTATTGGTAGTATGTTTCATGCCTGCATTTTTGTCCGGTCGGGTCTTGGAATACTGGAAGCTGTGTGGTTCATAAAAACATTTTCTTACTCAATATCTTACCCTAAGCCTAACCCTATCCCTTTTATTTTAAACTGTATAATGTCAGAGTTTTTTTGCCGTCCGCGAGGAAAAGAAATGGGGCTCAGAGCCTCAGAATACTGAAATCTGTATTTTTTGTCATATTTTTTTCCTTCTAATTTGTTATTATTTGGTGCAGGCACGAAACATACTACCAATAGAAACACATTGCTTCTAAAATCGTTCTGGTCAGAATACTGAAATCTGTATTTTTTTCCTTCTAATTTGTTATTATTTACATTGCTTTCAAAATCGTTCTGTGTGACACGAAAAAAATGGCTAAATCGTGTTGGTGAACACGAATCAATAGATTAATTTCGTGACTATAACACGAAATACCGTGAGACTGTGTTTTCATATATGGTGACTAACTAAAGGGCCTCTTGGCAAGTTTTTTGTGGCTGACTAAGTAACCCATAACATGCTAGCTAGACTTAAAATCCTTCAAAACCCGGCAGAGCTAGCTAAACTGCTAGTAACGCTAGTAAAAAAGATTGAGCAATTGGAAGACCTGTTACAGTGAGCAAGTTGGAAAAAATATTGACCGTCTGTTAGCAATTTAAATAGCTATTTAACTGTCAGTTAGCAGGTTATACAGATGGTTGACTGCCACTATAATAGCTAGATAGGTTGGTAACTGTTATAAAGATTGCTATCCTTCTCTGAGCAAGTTACGACGACAGTACATTTCCAGTTCGCAAGTACGATTTTAATGACTGTAGACTTCCAGTTAGCCAAACAGATAACAGATTATTTGGTGTTTAGCAAGTTACAACAACAACAAATCTCTAATAAGCAGCTTAGATAGCTTGTAAACTGGCAGCTAGCAAAAATATCTACCGTATGGTTCTTAGCAAGGTATCATTTCCAATTAGCAAATAGCTTGTTACCTGTCAGTTAGAAAGTTAGCTGATTATTGAGATTGTTTGTTGTCAGTTAGCAAGGTAGTTAGCTATTCATAACAATTGTTAACTTTCAATTAGCAAATTAAAAGATTGTTACCTTGCATTTTTTAAGTTATAAAGTTTATTTACTGTCACGTAGCAAGTTAGATAGCTTGTTAGTCATTGAGGATATTAAAAAGACGGTTATCTGTCGTTTAGCAAGTAATACATATTTTTAAATGTCAGTGAGCAAGCCCACAATCTAAGTAACACTGGCACTATGTAATCATCTTTAACAAATGAATCCAAACCATTACTTATTTCTGTAACATTTCAAACTCCAGCGATGCAGAGTTATATGAAATTAGATGTTGCCACAGAGATAATACACAGCTGTGGCTTTCCGTTCTGTCAAAGGTTCACACTGAAAAATGGTTTACAATTGATGGCACCATTTTCAGTTTCAAATTCACCAAACCATCACCTTCATGAAAGCTAGCATGTGAAAATAACGCCATACATGTACAGATGTTCTGACAGATGTGAGCATATTGAAAGTTAGTCTTGATATAAAATAACGAAATGCTTCATCAAAGATAGTGGGAGCATAAAAACATGCTGTGGCAACTTGTGCTGCTCCACCCACTCCAATAACTCCACAGAAGTTTTTGGCAACAAGGAAATGAAGCATTGATCATCTTAGTCCCTTGGCATCTTAAATACAGGGGTGGGTAGTTTTTCAAAACACACATTATCTATCATTTGTGCAAAAAAAAACACCAACTTGTGTTAAGAGGCTTGTTGTCCACCCACAAGAGATTATAGCTCAATTTTTTTACATTTTCTTGCAGCTGATTTTCACATGCAGACTGTAAGTGGTTTGGATTTGTTGATCCCACAGTTTTACAAGGAGAATCACAATCAAATACATTCATATGATTGAGGATTTATAAGAACTCTATTTAATGTCTTCCAGAGCTAGAGAGGATTTATATTAACGTTTAAAGTTTTCCTACAAATTCTGAGATGCAGGATAAATACAAATACTGATTTTCAATTACTTTCAAACACAAAGGTCAGCTTGTAGTTGGACTGAGACAAATTTGTCAAAGCAAAACAAATGGCAAGTAATTTTTCTGTCTGTCTTTTTATTTTTTATGTCATTGATACGCTTTCCACGTCTCAAATGACTGCATGTATTTTCTTTCTCTCTTTCCGCTCTATTGTGAATTCACATTGCTTGATGGTTTTAAATTGTTTTCAACTTGCCTGCTGTTGGAAAATGTGGTTGCCAAGGTGAGAGACAGGAAACTGGTCAAAACCGGGGATACTCAGCAACGGAGGCTCATGGGAATGAGGGTCGCTGCACTGTTTCATATCGAGGGCCATCCATCTCAACTCCCCTTCGTGGCATGACAGTTATGGAATGTAATTTGTGTGCCTGCCTGGCTGAATAATGTGTATATCCGTGTGTGTCGGTGTGTGTGTAGGTGTGTGTGTCGGTGTGTGTGTCGGGGTGTCTGTACAGTACGTGTACCAATGTTTACTCGGCAGTTGGAATCAATTTACCTGTCGGTGATGAGTGGTGTAAAGTAACTAAGTACATTTACTCAAGTACTGAGCTTGAGTAAAAAATTGAGGTCTTTGTACTTTACTTGAGTATTCTCACATGATGCTACTTTTGATTTTTACTCCGTTACATTGGGTAGGCAAATGTTGTAATACATTTATTTTATAGATTTAGTTACCAGTTACTTTGCAGAAGGTAATGATACAGAATGTGAATGTACTTACACGTTCATATATTTTCTTATAGGTTAAGCTAGCCAGTGTGTGTATAAAGTAATTCAAATATGCCCCATATTTACTTTTTAGTGCAACATTGAAGTTATGAACACATTAAAACATGAATAATTATAACAGTCATATATGGTGCTTATTTGTGCCATTCTACATGAAGTAGTTTTACTTTTGGTGCTAAAAGTATATATTGATGCTAATACTTATCTAGTTTTACTTAAGGAGAATTGTGAATGCAGGACTGTTGCATTTGTATTTTTACACTGTGATATTACTATTTTACTTAATCAGAATCAGAAACAGGTTTATTGCCAAGTAGGTTACGAGGAATGTGCCTGTATGGTGCATACATAAACACAGTTAAAAAAGATAAATTGTAAGAAAAACAACAAAAGAATGAAACTTTTTGGAAAAAACGATTGTAACATTGACAAAGAAATATTTACATGAAATATAAGCGAACTATAGATAAGCCCTTAAAGTAGTGAATCATCTGAGTACTTCCTGTAATCTTAATTCTGTGGATCTTGCTGCTTTGCATTCAGCACAAACTCCAGTGGTTGGACAGGTCGCCACTAATTGCCTTTCAGCGCGTGCACACTGTATCATAACTGCACTAAAGCCGCACCGAGCAGAGAGCAGACAGCCTGATCAGTCAGTGTCACCGAGGTAGAATTACTCCCCGAGCTGAAGATCCCTCACTAGTCAATCTACCTTTGATCAGCAGCCCTCGCTGAATGCAAAGCACCTCACACTAGGCCGCCTTTGTACAAAAAAAAAAAAAAAAGCAGCAGCTCCCTCACCCTGCATGTAATGACCTGGCTCACGGACAGACAGAGAAAAACTGAATTAATGTCATTTTCTATCTGCATTATAATTCTACCTGTGAGCGTTAAACAAAACCTGAAGCAAAGGCAATGCAAAGCATGTGTACTCAGATATTTTACTTGTGTCAAAGTAGTAATACCACAGTGTAGAAATACTGTCCTCCTTTAAAAATGCTAGTTAAAAGCACAAGTATGAGCATCAAAATGTTCTTAAAGTGCCAAAAGTAAAAGTAGTCATTGTGCAGATTGGTCCATTTCAGAATAATATGATATGTTTTCTAATGATTGATCATTAAAGTGTTCTCAAAGCTGCAGCTAGTTTGAATGACTTTGTATACTGCAGGGTAGCTTGTGAGTTTACTCCAGGTGGAACTAAAGTCTGATTTAACACTTGATTATATTTAACATCATTCATCCACATCTGTAAAGTAACTAAAGGTATTAAATACATGTAGTGGAGTGAAAGTACACCATTGACCTCTGAATCGTAAGGGAGTAGAAGTACCAAGTAGCATCAAATGGAAATACTTAAGTAAAGTACAAGTACCTCAATGTTGTACTTAAAGGGGACCTATCATGCAAAATGCACTGCTGTACGTCTTTTCTACATGAATGTGTCCCTGGTGTTCCAGGGAACTCACCAAGTGTCAGAAAACACAACCCTCTCTATTTTCCTCCATACCCAAATCTCTTAAAAAGGGGCTGCAACGGATCTGATACAGACTTATCCAGATTTGAACACTTCTATGACGTCACAGAAGTGGCGCTACGGCTATTGGGCCAACTCCACCAATCAGGAGGAGACAGCCACGGACATTGCCGTTGGAAAGCGCTGGAGACGCT